GCACCGAAGGGATGGGGGTGCTGGACCCAGGCTGCACCCTGGGACTCTGTCCCCAGGACTGAACTCCATAGCGTGTCAGACCCTGACGTGCTATGGCTCCTCTCGGCTGCTGATGGGTGCTCTGGTGCCAGCTCATGGCGGCTTGGGCAAAGCCATTTTTTTTTACCTTCTTATCCCCGCTTGCCCCCACCGCCACACTGCAGGGGGGCATTCTCCTACCTGCGGAGGGTGACGGAGAAGAGCAGCCGGCTGGACTTTGCCGCCAAGTTTGTCCCCGGGAGGACCAAGGCCAAGCAGTCAGCACGCCGGGAGCTGCACATCCTCTCGCAGCTGGACCACGAACGCATCGTCTTCTTCCATGACGCCTTTGAGAAGAAGAACGCCGTCATCATGGTCATGGAGCTGTATCCTCTGGGTGCTGCTCCAGCGGGAGCAGCTGGAGGATGAGGGGAGGCTTTTGGGAGAGCATGGGTGGGCAGAGGGGGTGCGAAGGAGCTGGTTGACCAGGTGGGTGCAGGGCACGGCGTTTCTGTGCTCCTTGACCAAGGCCCAGCTGTGCTGAGGAAGAGCTGCTGGACAGGATGGCGAGGAAGTCCTCGGTGTGCGAGTCTGAGGTGGGTGAACCCTGGGGGGCAAAGTGATGGAGAAGGGAGGGAGGGAGCCTGGGGACAGTGGGATCTGTCCCAGCCCAAAGACATGCAACGCTCATTGCATCAGGCCACAGAGGGGGCTCCATCCTGTGCCCTTCTCCACACAGGGCCGCGTGGGGCTGACCCACGCTCAGGGTGCCCACTCTCCCTCTGCTTTCTCGCAGATCCGGTCCTACATGCGGCAGGTCCTGGAAGGGATCTGCTACCTGCACCAGCAAAGAGTCCTGCACTTGGACATCAAAGTGAGTGTGGGACTCTCCCACCCCCTCCCACCCTGGCCCTGGAAGCTCAGGACATCCCTTCCCCTGGGGGAGCCCCTCCCTCCTGCCAAGCTCCCCTCGGCCCGGTGTTGTCCTGTAGCCAGAAAACCTCCTGATGGCGGATTCGAGCAGCGAGCAGGTCCGGATCTGCGACTTCGGCAACGCGCAGGAGCTGACGCCCCATGAGCCGCAGTACTGCAAGTATGGCACCCCCGAGTTCGTGGGCCCCGAGATCGTCAATCAAAGCCCCGTCTCCAGTGTCACCGACATCTGGTAAGGGTGGCCCTGGCGTGGATGATGGGGTCCCCACTGTGCCAGGAGGGGGTGGGCAGCCTGAGGGGCTTGTGCTGTGCAGTAACCCGCTCTCCTCTCTGCAGGCCAGTGGGGGTCATCGCCTACCTCTGGTAAGTGCCCCAGTGGGCCTCATTGGAGGGACCTCCTTCCCACCCCCTTGCTGGCTGCAGTGCTGGGGCTGTGGCCATGCACATTGCTCCTTGCAGACTCAGCCTCCTCCCCGGCTGCTCTTACCTCTGTTGAACCCATGGCAGCAGGGCTGGGGTCCAGAGTCCCATGCTTGGTCCCCTGTACTTGCCATGGTGTTTCCTATGTCCGCACAACCCGATGACAGTGTTCCCTCCTTGGCAGCTTGACAGGGATCTCCCCCTTTGTTGGGGAGAATGACAAGACGACGCTGATGAACATCCGCAACTACAACGTGGCCTTCGAGGAGAGGATGTTCCAAGGGCTCACCCGGGAAGCCAAGGGCTTCGTCATCAAAGTGCTGGTCAACGACAGGCTGTGAGTGCTGCAGGGTCCCTGGCCCCTGCCCCTCTGGTGGGAGCCTTGTGCTTGAGGGAGGGTGGAGACCCCCATGTGTGGGGTGTAGCGTGGGCAGCCAAGACCTCCTGCCCTTCCCTGGGCTGGCCAAACCCCTCCAGCCTGGGTGATTCTTACCCAGTGGTGTTGGTTCACAGGAGACCCAATGCGGAGCAGACCCTGGAGCATCCCTGGTTCAAGGTGAGCCTGAACACAGACCCAGTGGCAGCAGGGTTCCTCTGAGCCTGCTGCAGGCTCTGTGGGACACTGCTGTCCCTTCATCGTGCAGACACTGGCCAAGGGGAAGGTCATCAGCACCGACCACCTAAAGCTCTTCCTTTCCCGTCGGAAATGGCAGGTGAATGCAGGACCTGGGGTGGGAGGGATATGTGCTGGGCAGGATGGGGTGATGTGCACCAGGCAGGACAGGGTGATGTGCAGCAGGCAGGATGATGCCATGCCACCCACCTGAGCCTGATCTAGCCCTCTCTGCTGGTTGCAGCGCTCACAGATCAGCTACAAGTGCAATATGGTGCTGCGGCCGATCCCGGAGCTGCTGGAGGACACATCCAACCACCTCTCTATCGCTGTGCCCCGGCACCTCAAGGAGTCACCAGCACTGTCGTCCTCCTCAGACTCAGACGACCTGGATGAGCTGCCCTTCATCCCCATGCCACACCAGGTGGAGTTCTCTGGCTCCCGCATGTCGCTCAATGAGATCCCAACGGATGACGAGGCCATTGGGCCATCTGAGGGGCCATGGCTGGAGGGGGTTGCACCAGGGGACGTCTCCTCCATGGAGTGGCAGAGCCAGGGCACAGGAAAGCCTGGGGTGGCCCTGGGGAAGCGGCCAAGGGGCACAGGGCCATGGCGGCCATGCACGGAGGCAGAGGCACCCGGCTCCTCCGATGAAGAAACCCCCAAATCCCAGAAGCGGCCAGAGTACCCACGCAAAGCCATGAGGAAGGGCTCCAGCCTGGAGTC